CATGTAATGGTGGGGAGAAGGTCTGGTGCACTGTTTGGGTTGGAGAAGGGCCACAGAAAAGAAAGGAAGCTCAGCTGGAGCGGAAGGAAGTGGAAGGTCGGTCATGGAGCTGTATGGTACCAATGGGAAAAGAGAAGGAAGGAAGCTGGAGGGGTGGCACTCGGATTTGTTTTGGGTCGGGTTGGGTTTTGTGCAGTGAACGTGCTTCAGACACCCCTTAACCCTCATTCTGGGAACCTAGTGAGATTTATTTGTAATTATGTCTCCTTTTGTGTATACACATCTCTGATATTTCCCCTGGTAGTGGGTTTCCTACCATAAAACCGTTGTTCCGGGGTCCCAACCCTGTCTTGGCGCTACGCTGTGGGGACAGTGGGTTTTTCCTGCAGTAATGCTGCTGTGGCATTTTCTCCTCGTCTTCACACATGCCCAGAGCAGTAATAATTCATTTTTGCCATTCCTAAAGCAAAGTCAGGTTATAAATATCTAATCACAGTGCAGATATTTACTATAAAAAATTCAGTGGACTCATATAATGTTTACAAGGGAGCAGGAAGGGATGCTGTACAGATTATCTAAGCAAGCTATACAGATAGTGACTATTATTTAGAATTATTTAAGTTAATATCTTATTATTCAAGAAAATGCATGGTATATCTTTTGCTGGATTTTTAAAAATTGTACTTTGAATGGCAGAGCTGGAGGAATACTTTAGAGCGTGTTTAATTATGCCACGACTCTGAGAGCTTAGAGGAAGATGGAGACTTGCCCTGTTCATTTTTAAAGAGATGAGGTTTAGTAGTAATGAAAAATGAACAAAGGAAAAGGCTTTTATTTGGTGAGAAAATTTAGGCAATTCTGCACGTTTAACTTGCAGAATACTAAAATTTGATTTCACCCTTATGAAAATGAGAATATGCAGCTGCAGTTTAAAAGATTTCTTCGATAATTTGGTCTTTTGTGTTCATGGGCTGTCATCAGTCTCCCTTCGAATGGGCACTCACGCGCGCAACTGTCCTTCTGTTAGAATGCTGCCCATATCATTTCTCATTAAGAGTCTCTCGTAAGCACAGCTTGTTTTTATCTCCGTCTCTCCGGTAAGCTGAAGTAAAGCTTTTTAATCACTGTGAAATGACCCAATAATTTATCTCCCTGAGGCCTGCAGTTAGGAGTCACTCGCAGAATTCAGAATTAACTTGGCAGGTTAAAAAATGACCAGTGATTGATTTTCAAGAAAAAAAAGGCAAAAATTTACTTTCGATTTTGAGAGACATTTAAGAGGAAACTGGGAGTGGTGGAATTTCATGGCTTTTGTACCTACAGAGAGGATTGCAGTGCATTCAGGCTGGGTGGAGAATGGCTGGAGAGCAGCCCTGAGGAAAAGGACCCGAGTGTGCTGATGGACCAGAAGCTCAACATGACCAAGCCATGTGCGATCGCAGCCCAGAAGGCCAACCGTATCCTGGGCTGCGTCAAAAGTGTGGCCAGCAGGTCAAAGGGAGGGGATTCTGCCCTTCGACTCTGCTCTGGTGAGACCCCACCTGGAATACTGTGTCCAGTTGTGGAGCCACCAACATAGGAAAGACGTGGACCTGTTGGAGTGGGGCCAGAGGAGGGCCACAAAGATGCTGTGAGGGCTGGAGCACCTCTGCTGTGAGGACAGGCTCAGAAAGTTGGGGCTGTTCAGCCTGGAGAAGAGAAGGCTCCGGGGAGATCTTATTGCCGCCTTCCAGTCCCTAAAGGGGCTCCAGGAGAGCTGGGGAAGGACTTTTTACTAGGGCATGTAGTGATAGGACGAGGGGGAATGGCTTTAAACTGAAAGAAGGAAGATCTAGATTAGATGGTAGGAAGAAATGTTTCACTTTGAGGGTGGTGGGGCACTTGCCCTGGTTGCCCCAAGAAGCTGTGGCTGCCCCATCCCTGGAGGTGTTCAAGGCTGGGTTGGACGGGGCTTGGAGCAACCTGGTCTAGTGGGAGGTGTCCCTGCCCAGGGCAGGGGGGTTGGACCTCGATGATCTTCAAGGTCCCTTCCATCCAAAACCATCCCATAATTCTATGATTTCTAACAGGGCCCCAGCTGCTGGTTACAACGCAAAGCCAGGGCTACGAGAATACCGCATACAGCAACAGCAGAACACCAGGGGCAGGCTGTCACTTGGAAGATGACAACAATTAACGCTCCATTATGTACTATTTGGGATGAGGACATCAATATTGGCCTTCTCAAAATATAAAATTGCTGAATTTCTTGTCTCCTGGCATGGCAGCCTTTGTGTTTATGGGATATCCATTATCTGTGCTTCAAAGCTTGTGTCCCATCAACCCAGTGTTGCGTGTCCTGTCGAATGAAGTGTTTTGATATTTTGGCCAACGTGTGTTCTTCAGTTTACGTGGTGTACCAATTAGCAATGGAATGATGTAAAAAGTACGTGGGCAAACTCCTGCAGTAGATTTCAGAGCATTGAGGTTCATCGCACATAGATAATGGTGCAAAAGAGGACTAATTTGGTACACCAGTGTGTCTCTTGATGTTGGCTAACGTCGGTTTGTCCTCATTCTATTAGGTACTCATTCTTCTACTACAACAGCTCTCTCCTTGCAATTTCCCTCGTCTTTGAAGAAAACATATAAGCAAAAATAGAATCTAAAGTATTAAATAGACAGTAATTTCAAAATACATGTGCTGTTTTCGCCAGGGCAGAAAGAGGGAAGAGAAGAGGGTTGTATGGGAAGGCTGCAAAGCACATTCCTTCATTCACCTACTGGAAAGTGCGCAGACAGTAAATGGTGATGAATTTATAAAAGCTATGACAGGATAGAATAGGATAGGTAGCAAATTATTATCTCTGCTTTCAGAGGGATTGATAGATAAGAACAGAGGAGAAATCATACTTTTTAACGGCTTAGTCCTTAATTTTGTTTTAAGTAGACTTTCTTGTGGAGTTGCTGTGGTTTTTCAGCTTGTGTTTTTCTTCTTTTTTCTCCCTCTGGGGATTTGTCCTGTTTTTTTTCAAGGGTTCACAAAATTCTACCTTTCTTTTGCTGTTCTATTAAATAGAATAACATCAAAGTCACTATGCGGATAGGGAAAGCGAACCTCCCACGTTGATTAAAAATGTAGAGCACAAAAGGACAGAAACTGGAAAGAAATACCAAATAAATACCTTTCCTAGAAATACATTTGGGATATATTCTCACCTTAGTAATGCTACTGGGAATTCTGTGTATGAATCCCTCTGGGGGCCAGACGAAAATATGCCTCAATTGTGCATATAAAGACTTGATTTTGGGGACTGTGAAGTTGCAACGCAGAAAAAAAACCAACCCAGATATAAGCTAGTTACACCAAATTCTTTTACGTTGACCCAATTTGCCAGATGCTGAACAGCCCTGAATTCTGTTTGCGGGTTCGATCTTGCGTCTGTTGAATTTTACTGCAAAGCTTCCATGGGGTTTTAGTGATGCCTCCGAGACGGTGAGCGTCGAGGCACACCTAAACCCTTCACGTGTTTCTGAAAAAAATCTCTGGAAAGAGTAGATAAGGAAAGGGAGGGGGGAAATTCCTCCCTGCAGACTTCAGTTCCTCCCTGCAGTGGAGCTTCGCTGCGCTGCTGACTCAGAAAGATGCTCTGGGCTTTCCAAACTGAAGGCGAGGGAGGATCTACTGCTTGGAACGACCTTTTGTAGAGTATTACAGGGCTACGCTTGCGTGGCCAAAAATGATGTTGCAATTGCGATGGCACTGTGCAGTCTAGAGCTATTTTTAATTTAAAAAAAAAAAAAAATTAAAAGTGTAGCAAAGTAGACTTCCTCCAGATTCCAGCAAGGCAAGCAGTATATCTGTGTATGAAGCGGGGTCACTGACTCCTACGTAAAGCCATGTTTTTGCATTTTTGCTACTTTTTTAACCTCTTAAGTAATAAATCTATCTCAGAGCAGTGTATTCATCTTTTAGTCATGCTGTTACTGCATTCTTCAGAAAGCACCCTAGAATGATCTACCTCGTCTAAGATGAGCAGTGTCTCTCAAAGGGAGAAGGCTTTTCTTGTGATTAAAAACTATTACCATTTCACCTCTATGAACTCGTTGAACGAATATTGATGACTTCTCCGAGTGCAGGCTTGAACAATATCGATGTCTAATGAGATGAAAACTCAGGTTTCTATCTCTTACGCATTTTATTTTTTCTGTCATTCAGCACTAATATTATTTTGCAACCATTTTGCTTGCCTCATGTTTGCAGTATTTTTCTGCATGAAGTCCAAACTGTAGCAGAATTGCCAAGAATGCGTTCTCCTCTCTGAATGTTTCATTGACGCATCTTTTGCTACCATCGCTGTGGTCATTACGGAGTAGCCTGAGCAAGTCTTTTGGTATAGGGTGGTGTTCTCCAATGGAAAAAATATCGCAGAGTTGGTGGTCTCGCAGCAGTTTTAGTAAAGAATTGTCAGCTATTCGTTCACCACTCAATCTGAGAAACAAAAGGGTTTGTTCTGTGTCTGTTTTTCTCTGTTTTAAAATCGTCTTTCTCCTTTTGCCTGTTTAAAAAAAAATAATAATAATTCTAGAGTAAATTTTCTAGTGTGAACATTTCTTTTTTCATCCCTGCATCAAAAGCAATTGAAAGGACAAGGGTTGATTAATGGAGCATCCTTGGCCCAGCACACATTGTCCAGGGTTGAGGCAGTACAATCTCAAAGCCGTGCAGAGGAGAAGGAGGGGAGGAGGCAACGCATTATCCTCTTTGATAAGAGATTTCAACACAAAATGGGCTTCCTCTCTGAAACGGTACCCTTAGAGTGTCCTTTACTGGTGCCAGGAAGAATAGGGATGAAACGTCACGTTGTGTGGAGCCACCTTCGGTTAGGAGTCAAAAAAAAAAAAAAAAAAGGAGCTTTTTCAGACGCTTGTGGGGCTGCATTCCTGGCAGGGTGTTCCTCAGCGTGCCAGGATGGACAGTTGGGGACGTGCTGATTTGTTTTCCCTCCTTTTCCTTTAAGGACGGACTCACCCCGCTCCACTGCGCTGCAAGAAGTGGACATGACCAAGTTGTGGAGCTGCTCCTGGAACGAGGTGCCCCGCTGCTTGCACGGACCAAGGTGTGTGTCTTACTAGAATACGTTAACAGCTCTGTGGAACTTTCCGCAGAATTTTCAATGTCACTGAAAGGACAAGGAAGAAGACAGGAACATTGCCGTTCTCCCAAAGGAAATGTGTTAATGGGTAGAATGATCCAAAATAAGGTTTTCTTACATAATTAGGGACTATCCTTTCCAAATGTATGAAACGGTATACACTTCTTTGCCCCTCTCTGTAATATCAGACTAAACACGTGATACACGGTGCTACGTCGAGCACTTCATGTCTGTTGTTACCTGAGACTGTAGGACACAGAGGTGGGCAGGCTGGGTCAGTCACTCCTGAGAGATGATTCCTGGTATATATTTCCTGATCTTTCATGTAATCTAACTAGGACCTGTGACTTGCAGCTTCTCCTGACTGTTTTCGTGGACTGTTTCAGACTTGGCAAATGATTTCAGCGTGCTCTCACTGATTTCTGAAAAGCGTGCTCTTTCTGATTTCTAAGATTAATGCGTTTCCTCCGAATGCTGTCCCTTTGGTCAAAGGAATGAGAGAAGGATACTTCTAGTATAAGAAGTATAAATGAGGCAACCCCACTGAGCAGCACTTCGCATCAGCAAATTTCAGAGTGCCTGATGAAGGTAGCTGGTATCATTAGCTGGAAAAAGAGTGGAATAGAGTATTGCAATGATATGCTTGAGGTCCCCTGGAAGATCAGGAGGGACAAATAATTTAAATACCGGGGTTCAGACCATTGCATTGTTTCCTGGGCCCCACTCCCTCAAACGTGGCTCAAAACAAGGGCAATTAGTGTATTCTGACCCATAATTACCCTTATCGGAGACTCAAAATTTTCTCTTGGTAGCCTCCAGGAGGTTTTATCGCTGCGTTGCAAGCATATCAACTACATCAAATAAGGGTGTGCTCAAGCTATGCATCCTTCATAGCACCAGGTAGTCCAGGTCATCTGTTTATGCAGGAGGGATCCATGGGGAGATGAGAATTGTCGGGAAAAGATTCCTTACAGTTTCACCAATTTCTTTGGTGGGAGAAGGTGGTTAGGTGAACCTCGTGTCAACACACCCTCACTTCACTAAGAGGTAGAGAGGCTCAGAAGAACACACCCTGCCACGTATATTGTGTACGCTTCAGGCGGGATTCCCAGATGTTGCCATTCAAAGACAGATGTTGCCAGTCAGGACAAAACATCAGCATTGCTGTGACAGCATCCGGATGTCCCCGATGTGTTGGGGACTGAACAGAGCAGAACAGTCAGTTTGACCGCACCAAGTCAGTTACCTGTTCAAGTCTATCCTTAAGCACGCAGTGGTTTTTAGGTACCTTATTGCATGTAAAATGAAATTAGGTTTAAAGGCAACTTCCTCTTCTAACTTCCAACTGAAACAGGTGGTTCCAAACTGGAGACAGGCAAATATGGAAATATTAAAACAATTTTTTTCTGCAAACAACTTGTTATACATATTAATAGCAACAATTCTCTTTCCTCTTAATTGTCTACCGTGGACTTCAATATTTACAAAAAGATCTATTAAAGCCAGGCAGGGCTATGAAACTCCTGCTTCCACTGCACTTCAACTGTTACGGTTTGAGCAAAAGGTCCAACCATGGTGATGTTTGAAAATATAATTTCCCAGAAGCTCAGGGGTCAGGTTTGCCAATACAATTTGGTTTTTTTCATTGAATGCTTAAGTTAAAAATACAGGTTCCTTAATAAATACAATGATGGTTAAGTAGGTACTTTTCCTCTAATTACCATACAACCTATGTCTTAGTCTGATGATGAGTATCCCCAGAACTGCCTTTTAAGGCCAAGATATGCTTTATTAAATCATGATGAAAGACCCTTAGATTCTTTTGCTTTGATTAAATTCTGATTTTAGTTAATTATCTGATGTTCCTCTAAATTTGCCTGTATTTGCTGGAAGGGGAAGGATGGCTATAGCCTTTTTTTCAGTTTTTCTCCCAGTCCGTAGCTGAGATGCGGCACCGTTCCAGCGATGAGGGTACTCGGCAAATTCACGGCGGCATCCTTCTAATATGTGCCACCATCGAAGTGAGAGTTACTACGAGTTACTGCTCTGTTTTCTTTTGCCGCAGAATGGACTCTCTCCGCTTCACATGGCGGCCCAGGGGGACCACGTGGAATGCGTCAAACACCTACTGCAGCACAAAGCTCCCGTGGATGATGTCACGCTGGATTACCTGACCGCCCTCCACGTGGCCGCACACTGCGGCCACTACCGTGTCACCAAACTCCTTCTGGACAAGAGAGCAAATCCCAATGCTCGTGCCCTGGTAAACCTGTCCCACCTGCGTCGTCTACCAAAGCTATCCAGGGCAGATGAGTAGCTCTTACCAGTAAAGCTAAGTGAAAAGTCTGTCAACAAACTCCAACAACCATAAATAGTTGCGGTAACAACGGGGTTGTCACACCTGCTGGTTACCAGTATTGTATCTCGTATTGTTAAGCCTCATCATGGACCACGACCCATGGCAAGTGGCTGTAGTGTCAGGACTGGAAGCTCTACAGAGTTCCTAAAATCAGAGCCGTTTCTAGCTGGTGCTGACGTATGCATTGGTATTTTACAGAATTAGTAGTTGAGTTTTCCACACCATGTGATATGATAGACAAATGATTTCTAAGCTTTCAACTGGCTCAGTAAGTTAATCGGCATGGAGGAAAATATATTAAAGAGCTAATATTTCTACGTTTTTCAAATTATGACATTCCCCTCTATTAGGTGCCACTTCTCTTTCTTTTCAAAAAACAGTTCTTCTGGTGCTTACAGGAAAACAGGTATGATGCCTTTCGCTCACTGATCAGGCCATTATCCCCTAACTGAGAGAAAAACGTCATGCTTGGCTTTGGGAACGTATAAAGCTTTCAAGAGTCTTTCATCTCTCCAAACCCAGACAAAATTCCATTTTTCTCTAATAGGAAGCGTCCCCATGAACTGTTAGCTGGATGGAAGTTAAAATACCAGTATATTGCACTCAATGGGGGAAAGATAGAGACTGGGAACACTTGAGATACTTCTGCACGGCAAGAAGTGTGCCAGTGCCTCCACAGAACATCCACCGCAGGCCACTCTGATGTCTTCCCTGGTGTCCTGCCTTCAATATCACCCCGTGTTTTCCTGTGAAGGCTCCCCCTGTCCCGCATTTCCCTTCCTCCCTTGGAACTGACTTTTTATTGACACAATTTTCTTCTGCCCGCTCATTTTTCTTGGCCTCTCTATACCCGCCAATCCCGTCACCCCTCTCACTTCCTCTTCTTACGCTTTTCTTCTTTTGTCTTTCTCAGTATCGTATTCGCTTGGTTGATATTTTCAATGCTGTTTTCATCCTTTCTCGTTTTTCTTGCCAGTTTTCTGATTATCTTTAGCTGTGCTTTCCTCAGCTACCCACACATACGCATTGTATGCTGGCCCCCACGTCTTCTTTCTTTCCTTCCATGACCAGAAATATACCTTCTTTTCCTCCCAGAGAACCATTTGAAATGAAAGAACACCCTCAGGCTGCTGCCTCTCTGCTCTCTTTCCTCCAGACTTTTTTTTTTTCCTCCCCCTCTCTCTTGTTTCCTCTCCCGTCAGGGACTTATCGCCTCTGGCTTGTTTATAGTATTTAATACATTAAATGGTGCTCATAATTTCTGTTAGCGATACGTTTTTTTCTGCCCTCTCCTCTTCCCCATCAAACTGTTCCTCACTTAAATAGACATAGCAAAATTAAATCAACTCAGGCGGTAAAATTAAGTGGAAGTATGGAAACTTCTGAAATGGCAAAGCTCCCTACGAAATATATAGAGAGATGTTGTGCGGGAGGTTAAATACCTAATGGGTTTGATTCCTTCTTTAGAAATAAGAGAAGGCTGATAGTAGGAATAATATTCAGCAGAGTCCTGTGGTGGAATAAATTTTACAAATAATTCATTTTCAGCTAGATTTAAAAAAAATAATTGTTTGCAGAATGACTTGGGGATACAAGCACTATATGCATTCTTAGCTTTTCTGATTTTGTATGTGCTTTAAAGCATCTTCAAATCAACTAGTAATTAACATTTCCCTTAACGGAAGCTGACAGTAGAATAATTGTCACATATCTCTAAGGTTTCACTGATAAGTCCTGTTTGTTGCTAGTTGATTGTTTAGCAATACTGATCCCTTTTATTAGAAAATACAGCTATTTTTCAACATTATCGAAAAATGTTACCTGTGCTTTTCACTAAAATGTTCACAAACGGTGAATAATGTGTCTGCTCAGCTTTAGGCGCGCACTTAACCTGCATTAACTTTAATAGTGCATAAAAAAAGCTTGAAGTCAAAGCATGTATTGCGTTATCGAGTATGAAGACATGCTTTGATTTGGGCCCCGATCTTACTGAATACACATTTCCGAAGAAAGGAATCTGTGCTGATGGCAAGCACAACGCTGAAACTATTGTCTCCCAATATGAAACGTTAGGTTGCGATCTTGATTGGAGATGTTCCCTTCCCCTGCTGCCTTTCATTCCTGTCCCTGCCCCATTTAATTTTAATCCAGATGAGGGTTGATAGGTTGATGTAAGCATGCTTACAATGCTTTATGTCTCGGCAGGGCGGGAATAAAGGAAGGGGGGGCCACAAATACTTCAAGAGTGAACATTTTGTGTCGTGAAACCGTGGCTGAAGTAGTGATTATTTATTTAAGATACCTCCCAGAATGCCCGTACAGACATGAACAGGAACGTGGTATGCCACAGATTGACACATAAATATAAAAATAAGTTCACGTAGATGCTTAGATTACAAGATAGTCTAAAAGGACAAACAAGGTGGAATCTGGAAGAAGTACTCTGTTGTTTTCCTAGAGAGATATAGAATATGTTTTGTACGCTTCAAAAGACACTAACTGATTTCACAGCGATCGCTATAATTTCTTATATCTTCTTTGTGTTAAGCAATTTTGGGGAAAACACATTAAGTCACCCTTACGTATACATGTGTGCAGCCTTCGGAACCACATGCATACATGCGCTCACGTGTACGCGTGAAAGGCAGAACGGGCATGTCTGCATTCGGGTTTTGGAGGTGGAGGTTCAGTTTCTCTCCATTACCTGAGAAGAAAGCAGCGGCACTGCTTTTTTCCGCCTCGGACTACTGGGAGATGTCTGTAATTCGTAACCTGTTGTGCTTAAAGAACAATTGCTTCTGATACTCTAACGCTTCTGCTTCCAGCGTGCCGGCGTGGAGCTGTGTGGGAAGTGTAGCTGCATGTTTTTAACTAACATGACTGTCTTTTGCGCAGAACGGTTTTACTCCACTGCACATTGCCTGCAAGAAAAATCGCATCAAAGTCATGGAACTCCTGGTGAAATATGGGGCTTCAATCCAGGCTATAACAGAGGTAGAAAAATGTTTCGTGTCCTGAAGAAACATTCCTTCTCTCTCTCCCTTTTTGCTTCCTTTGTTCTCTCTCCTCTCATGCCTCACTCTCACTTATCTTTTATTTAAACGAAGAAGCCCCTTCCCTACGCCCGTGCAGAGGAGTAAAACTGCTCTTGCTTTGTTTCGCAGTCGGGCCTCACACCAATACACGTGGCTGCGTTTATGGGCCACTTGAACATAGTCCTCCTTCTGCTGCAGAACGGAGCCTCTCCCGATGTCACTAACATTGTGAGTATGGCTTTGACTAGAATCCTCTGTGCGATACCTCCTCCGAGAAGGGTCTGGCCTACCACGTAGCTCAACCAAAGGTCACATTTTAATGATGCTTTGAGACTTCGTTGCGTTTGAGGACAAATTACTTTAGCACCTTTAGCGAAGAGGGGAAAATGGTGACAGTATGTGCATCATTGTGCCAGGGGAGGGTTAGATTGGATATTAGGAAAAATTTCTTCACCAAAAGGGTTGTCAAGCATTGGAACAGGCTGCCCGGGGAAGTAGTGGCGCCGCCATCCCTGGAGGCGTTTAAAAGACGGGTCGACGGGGTGCTGAGGGACGTGGTTTACCGGTGGACTTGGCAGTGTTGGGTTAATGGTTGGACTCAGTGATCTTCAAGGTCCCTTCCAACCTAGACGATTCTATGATTATAAGCCATCTGTGGTTTCCTGGATTCTTCAACAGCGCTTGAGTAGGTAGAGTTTCCCTTAGAAACAGACAAAGCTCACCAAACACATCCAAACCTGATTGGAAGCCAAGTCACGGGGAAGACTGTGTTTCCGTTCTGAAGGATGAAATTTAACTCCAAACGGCTCTAATTTCTGCTTGCATAGTTTCGCTGGCTGCCATGAAATTGTGTCATTTGTATCAGTGGAAGGGTATAAAATGCTTAAAACCTTACAATCAAAGAAAAAGTGAAAACGTTATACTCAAGATGTTCCTCTTACACAGGAAATTCCAGGAACTGGTGCCTTTCAAACGAATGTGCTTAAGTCTAGAAAATGTGACCTTTGGGAGATAACACGAAATGCAAAACCTGACTTACCATAGAAATCGGTGTTTGTATACCAATAACTTAGTTACCAAGAAGAAAAAGAAGAATAAAAAGAACATGATAGTTTTCTGAGCTGTATTTCATAGGCATCTTACTGTTTGAATTTGTCAGTATAAACAAGTAATTCAACTTATGACCACCTGCACCTTGAAAGCAGCTTTTTACCAGTAAATAATGTTACTGATAAGTGTTCCCAACAACAAAACAACAGCAAAAAATTAGTATTCTGGGTACACCGGACTGATCAGTTTTTCTCAGTCAGAAAAATCTTCCTTGACAAAGTCTCGTACTGCTTTCATACTTTTTTTATAGAAGCAATCTTTATATAAAAACTTTATTGATAATATGAAAGCCAACAAAAGAAATTCTTGTGGAAGCGATTAAAAGTATTGTGTTATTGGACATTCGTGTGCAAAGTTTAACACTTTACAATTTATGCTACACGAGTGTCTTGGCTTTTACTTCGTAAGCTGAAGTTCCCTGTTGAATTACTAACTGTTTCCAAAAGCTAAATTGCTTTGCTAATTCAAGTACAAAAAAGGGTCTTTAAAGAAATTTGGTCTTTAGAGTGTGTGAAATGTAAACCTTATTCACATTTTAAACAGCTCATTCTTCAGGTAATAAAGTTTATGTAGATGAAATTCTCTATTAAGATTTGTAGCTAAGGCTGTGGGATTTTGTTTGTTGCCTACTTTTGCTGATCTCAGCTGGTAATACGACGTTAATTTTAAAATGACAAGATAAATCAACTCCTGGAGAAGAGGGTTTGCTTTAATTAGAAGTTCGTAATAGTAGACAAGCTCAGGCTCCTTCTTTTCCTACATCTAGACAAAGGACAAGAAGATGTGACTCCTGATTCTGATGCAAAAGATCTTGACCAGAGCCTTCATTTTGGCATTTGCAGTTTAACTCGGTAGTCACGGGGCTAGAAGCCTTGTGACGGAATATACTCCAGCTCTAGAGTAAGGAGAAGGAACAATTAACACAAAGAAGTGGTCAGTCCTGCTGTGTTGTCGTAACCTAACAGATAAATACAGACCTCCTGGTTGTGGAACTGTCCCGGTGCCTGATGTACCAGATATCGGTGAGCTGCACAAGGACCGCAACAAGTCCACGTTAGGGCAGTGCGCTCAAAGAACGTCGGACAGTGCAAAATTAAGCTAGAAACACCATCGTCAAGGAACACGCGCTTTCGGTGTTCCTTTGCAAACCTGTGCAGAAAGTAAATGCTTTGAACGTATCATCCGTACTTCATTATCCTGATGTGAAATTCCACATCGTTCCAGTCAGCTTTCCAAAATTTCATATTCTCCTTCAAATTCTCTGGGCTACTAAGGGCTTGAAACGAGATTCATTCCGTAGCCTGCAGACTGAGCCACGCTGCTGAGCGCAGATTTTACACGTTTCGGACGCTGGCTCCGTTGTGCGCAGCCATTGCAAGGCCTTTGAACGCTGCCAGCTCCACACTGCGCAGGAAGAGACCATCTGGAAAAATATCCCCTTCCATCTTGAGGCTCATGTGCCTCGCAATCCCTCGAGAGAGACAGGCACAATATACGCTGATCTCCTGTGCAGCACACAAGCTGATGCACTGTTATGTAGAAAGCTGAGGAACATAGGTGACCAGGGGACTTTATACCAGCTGAGAGAGTTGGGGTTCTTCAACATGGAGAAGAGAAGGCTCCAGGGAGACCTTAGAGCCCCTTCCAGTGCCTAAAGGGGCTACAGGAAGGCTGGGGAGGGACTCTTGATTGGGGAGTGGAGTGATAGGACGAGGGGTGACAGTTTTAAACTGAAAGAGGGGAGATTGGGATGAGATATGAGGAAGAAATTATTTATTCTGATGGTGGTGAGCCCCTGGCGCAGGTTGCCCCGAGAAGCTGTGGCTGCCCCATCCCTGGAGGTGTTCAAGGCCAGGTTGGTCGGGACTTGGAGCAACCTGGGCTGGTGGGAGGTGTCCCTGCCCAGGGCGGGGGGGTTGGAACGAGATGATCTTCAAGGTCTGTTCCAACTCTACCCATTCTATGATTCTCTATGGCAGAATTTTCTATAAGCCAGGATTTTCAATTCTGACCCTCTGGAGTGAGATTACCTTTATCTGGGATCACCGAATTTGCAAAGCAAAGCGGACCCAGGCCCAGCAACGTGTATACGCCCAACTCTTCTTCTGAACTGCCTGTTGCTGGGTCTGAAGCCAGGTTCTCAGTTGGCAGAAAGGCGGGTCTCTGCGCAAGTTGCCGTGGGTGGAATTCCCACCAGCGGAGCTCTTGTTTCTTTCTGGAGGTTGAGGACACTAAAACGCTTTTGCTTTTCTGCAGCGTGGAGAAACTGCGTTGCACATGGCGGCACGTGCTGGGCAGGTGGAAGTAGTTCGCTGCCTCCTGAGAAACGGAGCCCTGGTTGATGCCCGAGCCAGGGTAGGTGTTCTGCTTATAATTTATTTTTTTTTTTTTGGCTTTCTCTTTCTCAAAAAAACATAGCTGAAGCAGAGGAGCTAGGGAGGAGCAATTTCATTTTTATTTGACCTGCTAATTCAATATTAAGCACACCTAAAACCAGTTCGGAAAACAATAACCTATATACGCGTACATCTTCCAAAGAGAATGTGTGCGGTGGGCTGTCCCCGGCCGGCAGCTCAGCCCCGCTCAGTCGTTCCCTTACTGCCCCCGCGGCAGGGTGGGGGAGACAACTGGAAGGGCGAAAGCAAGAAAATCTCTTGGGTTGAGGCAAAGACAGTTTAATAGGTGAAGGAGAAAGAATAAAAGCCCTCAAAACCAACCATTCCCCCTCCCCAAGTGATGTGACTGCAGTCACTCGCCACCTCTCCCAAGCAGACTGATGCCCAGCCAGGCTCTGAGCAACGGCTCCTTTGGAAAAATTCGGCCCCTGGTTTTATTGATATCCATGACGATATATGGTATGGATTGTCAATTCGGGCCAGCTGTCCTGGCTGTGTCCCCTCCCAACCTCTTGCCCACCCCAATCCTGTTCCCTGAGGGGGGCAGGCAGAGGGAGCAACAGAGAACGCCTTGGGGCTGGGTAAGCGCTGTTCGGCGTAGCTAACACACAAATTTTTCTTCATAATTCTCTCTGTTCTAATAAGGTGTTGCTGAAACTCATCACAAAAATTAACCCGTGAGCCCTCCATCTTTTCGTTTTATTACATCCTACGATTTTTGCAAGCCAAATGGATAGATCTATTGGGATCAACCAGAACGTTGTGTTCAGGGTGGTTCTACCCGCGCTAATTACCTACTTGATTTGAGTTGTAGGAAGAACAGACTCCACTGCACATTGCTTCTCGCTTGGGCAAAACGGAGATCGTCCAGCTTCTGCTGCAGCACATGGCCCACCCTGATGCCGCGACAACTAATGGGTACACTCCGCTGCACATCTCTGCCAGAGAGGGACAAGTTGATGTCGCATCCGTTCTCCTCGAGGCAGGTGCCTCGCACTCCATGTCCACCAAAGTAAGACAAAACACTTTACGTCGGTGTTCCAGTAGCACAGGCAGCGCACGCCTGTTCCGTGAGGGTTGTACTGTCACACTGAGAAATTGAACTGGTTTGGGTCTTTTGTTTTGTTCTTACTTAAGCCATAGGCTGAAGTAATGTATCACAAGTTAATCAAATTTCGGCACGCTTTGCTGTCATCTAAAGCTGCGAGTTTGGTTCCCACTGGAGCGCGATAAACACATGGTCCCAACAGGTTTAAAAGGTACACAAAGTCCTTGTTTCTCGCTTTCCCATTGTTACAGTTAGGGGGTTTTTTGGCCAAAATTTTCCGAAAAGAAAAGGGGATGATGATGACACTTTTTTTTTTTTTTTTCTTTAAATGAACAGGCTTGCTTATTCTTCAATACCTTTTGGATTTAAATAGTAAAATAAATCTGGTTTCTACTAGCTGAAGGGAATGTTCCTAAAACATACAAGTCGCGTCTGTCCAGTCGCATCTAATGCAGAATCTATTTTCAGTGGCTCTATAAATGAGGTGTCATATGACACAACAGGCCATTTTCTCTGGGGGCATAAAAGAAATAGTCTGCAGAATCGTTATTGTTTTGTTAGCCGAAAATGTTTACTAACAGATTCCTAACAGAGTGCTGAACACGTAAGAAAATAGATAGCTGTGAATAGAATTACGTGCTAAGATGACTCTTCCAAATTTATCACATTTGATTAAGTGAAAATCACTAAATTCTCACTATTGTTTTAGGTCCTAAAAAAGTACCCCTGATTTTACAGCTGGAGGTTAAAACATATTTTTCAACAATGGGATGCCTTCCAGGGTTTAGAAAACTAAACCAGCAATTTTCAAATTATGATCCCCTTATTACTGGGAATGCTCGCTGTTCTCCTTTTATCCAGCTGTTAAATCACATTAAAATGGCTAAAAATACACTAAATACTTTCCTAATTTCCCGTATTGCTTTGTGGCGACGGCTTTAGTACTGCAGAAACATTCTGTAATTATGAACAGGATGTAGTCCACTAGATAATCTCTCTACAGACCTGTGATTCGTCAACTGAAAATACTTGAGATTCCCTGACGTAAACTCTTGTTGAGGTGGGATTAATGGAACAAGATGATAACGATAATAAACATTACACATCACTTATGCGCCAGGCAGATAGGTCATCGTAGCTCCCCGGAATTCCTGTCAGGGCAGCGGTGCAGTCTGCCACCTACTGTCTTCCATCCATGAGTTGTCTTTATCAATGTGTTTAACGTAATTTGAATTAACGTTAATTAAAATTAACATAATTTAATATCTAAATTTAATGTAATTTAAATTAAAAGAACAGGCAAAGAGCACGTTAGTTTGACAAAGACCTTGCACCTGCACTGTACTGACAAACGTTATGAAAACAAATAGAAAAGGACTCTTTAAAAGACAAGATTTTGAGTCTTGCCCCAGCGTGCGTCCAAAAGCACTGCCATTGAGTCAGGCGGGACTTCTTTTAGCTGCAGTTCAGAAGCTGCAGCGGAACCGAGTTGACTGTAGGGCTACATGAGTCCGAATATAAATCATTCTTCAACAAACTCTAAAGGAGGAGTACGGAGTTGGGAGCTTTTCTCACTGAATTTAGTTGGTGCTTCATGGTTACGGGCAACAACTGATACAGGAAATATTTCTAAAGGCTGTTGTCGTCAAAAAAAGAAGTGCAGCTGGTTTGGAGTAGAAACTGGAACAAGTGCCTTCCTTGCCCACATACACACAGTGCATGTTGCTGGTAGAGTCTGTGTCAGATAAAATGTCTGACAGCCCATACATAGGAAAAAAATAATAAAAGGTAAAGTATTTCCTTGTATTTCATGCTCCTCAAAGTGCTTTCAGGAGATGATGCTCTTTCTAGGTAGGGCTGTTGAGTCTGCGAGCTAGAATATAGGTTGAAGAGGAAGCGCTTAATGCGTAGTTCTTAAAAGAGAGGTGCCAGCATGACCTTTAACGCGAGCATCTGCTTTTTTTATCTCCTGGAATTTCGCAGAAGGGATTCACGCCTCTGCATGTGGCGGCCAAATATGGGAGCCTGGAAGTGGCAAAACTCCTGCTGCAGCGTCGCGCCTCTCCCGATTCAGCTGGCAAGGTATGGAAGAGAAATAAAAATTAAAAAATCAGCAGCATTACGGACTCTTCCTTAGGAAAGAACTGTGCGAAACGTGCCTGTGGAAGAAGGCTGCAGCCGCTTTCTCGTGGTGGCTGTGGCTTTCCCGTGGTGGCCTTCACCCCCTGGGCGATGCTTTTGTGCACTTGGTGTGAAAACCGTGCTGCCGAGCGTGTGGGGTTTGGGTCCCTGTCAAAATCCCGATGGATAAACGCCGGGGGGAATGGCCTGGTTCCCCGCCATGCTGCGGGAATTGCTTAGCGCGGGCTCCAGGGAGGCGGAAACCACCGGGCCGCCCCGATTCACCCTCCTCCACTGCTTCTCCCCTCCTGCTCATGGCCGCCCGCCCGCCATGCCTTGTGCCCTGCCGCCCCTCGCTCCCTGCCCGTCACCTCACGCACTAACGTCTCCCTCCCGTGCACCCAGCCTAACGCCATAACCACCCTTACAGAACGGCCTCACCCCCCTCCACGTGGCGGCCCATTACGACAACCAGAAGGTGGCCATGCTGCTGCTGGAGAAGGGCGCTTCCCCCCACGCGACCGCCAAGGTGAGCTCCTGCCGCCCGCCTGAGGAAACCCGGCGAGAGAGAGGGCGGCCCGGCCTCCGCCTTGCCCACCCGGGGTCTCTCCTAGGATGCTCCGAGGACTGGAGCCCCTCTGCTGTGAGGAGAGGCTGAGAGAGGTGGGGGGGTTCAGCCTGGAGAAGAGAAGGCTCCGGGGAGACCTCAGAGCCCCTTCCAGTCCCTAAAGGGGCTACAGGAGAGCTGGGGAGGGACTCTGGATCAGGGAGGGGAGCCATAGGATGAGGGGGAATGGTTTTAAGCTGAAAGAGTGGGGATTGGGATGAGATATGAGGAAGAAATTCTTGACTGTGAGGGTGGTGAGACACTGGCCCAGGTTGCCTGGAGAGGTGATTGATGGCCCCATCCCTGAAAACATTCAAGGCCAGGTTGGATGGGGCTCTGAGCAACCTGGTCTAGTGGGAGGTGTCCCTGCCCATGGCAGGGGGGTTGGAACTAGATGGCCTTAAGGTCCTTTCCAACCCAAACCAGTCTATGATTTTAAAGGTGGGAAGTTGTCTTACTGCCAGAAGGTACCATCAATGCCATTCTGCTTTGCTGAAATGGTTAATTTGGTCAGAACAGCATCCCTCCCTATGGCTGTTTGCAGCCAGTGCCACGACTGACACGTATCAAAATTCCATATGCAAACACACCTCTACCCACAGGCTCCGAAAAAGCATAATGCAGTGAAAAGTGTGCCTCCGTCACTCATCACAGAGAATGTCACTCATCAGTCAAAAGTGAATCTTTACAACGTAGGTTATTCCAAACGTAGGATTGAAGCTCGGGGTAATTTGAAGGTATCAGCTGAGCAGTCCTGCCCACCCTAGCAAGGGTTGGCTTTGTTCTAGTTTGGGTGGCGAAAATAACAGACGGACAAAGCAACGCAACAGCAGGGCCATGTGGGACACGTCTGCCCTTGAAAACGTAATGAACTCTCATCTCTAGTAATAAGTGGGTAACGTAAAATAATACTGGTTTATGGTGTTTGACTTCTTAGGCTTACAGGGTTGTTGTGTTAACTTGATTCTCTTTTTGTTTCCTGGCTGGTGTTAGAACGGATACACCCCTCTGCATATTGCTGCCAAGAAAAATCAGATGCAGATAGCTACCACTCTATTGAACTACGGGGCCGAGACCAACATTTTGACCAAGCAGGGAGTCACCCCGCTTCATTTGGCCTCCCAAGAAGGTCACACTGACATGGTGACATTGCTTTTGGAGAAGGGATCCAACATCCATGTGGCAACAAAGGTAACTCACAACCGGAGACAAAGTACTACGGGTGGGAGTATCCAGTAGGACGCAAAGTGCAGTGTAGGAATGATGTCGCGTTGTCAGGAATTCTCAGCTTCTCTTCCTTATCTACATATTGGCGAGTCTGCAGAAGTGACAACAGGTGGGTGAGCAGTAAAAGTGAGAAGAGGATATCTAAGACCGGTGGATGGATCGATCGGTTAACTTACATCATGTAATTAATAACCGGACTGGGGAACGCACAGGAGGAGCTGCAGCTGGTTGCCGTGACCCAAGGAAAACCGTGTAACACCTGGTAGAGAGGTGACAGGAGGAAAGGCAGACTGAGAGAAAAGGGTTTTTGAGCATTCAGGAAGGCAGAACTGCAGTATTTTTTGTTGTGCTGCAACCTTGCCGTCTCTCAGGTGTTTTGCATACGCTCCTGAAGTTTCACATTAGATGCAAAGGATGGGGAATGTAAAATTCTGGAGTTTGTGGGTCCATGGGTAGATTTGACAACATGTATCAGCAACCTGATAGCTACAGTGTGAAATAGTTCAGGTCTTGCCAGCAAAGACGTTTTTTCCTCGTTTTTCCCAAGCAGAAGAAAATGGCTTTTTCCCAAGCGGAAGAAATTGGCGGTGTCTGGCAAATAACAAAACAACATTATTAGCGGAGCAGCGAGTGAGAAAAATCCTATGGAGGGCCTTGCCAATTTTTTTGATTTTTTGTATGATTGGACATGACAGTTTTTTTGCAGAAAACAAATTCCTCTAAAAAAAAAACAACACCCACATTACTGTAGATCTTCATAGGTCACCAGATTTATCCAGGGCATATATGTAAGCCTTATTTACTCAAGGTCAAAAGCCTGCAGCTTTTGTTCCAACAAGTCAAAATAGAAGGCTCAAGTAATATATTATGCTACCTAACCAGTGAGAAACAAGGTGATTTTCATTTCTCTTACGAAATACGTTCCCTGCCTTGTTCACAGGCAAATACTCCGTGCCTGATCGCAGTGAGCTTTTAGTTAAAGGCTGCATCCATTTCCTCGGCGTCTCTGAATGGGATCTATTTCTGGAGTTATTTTCTTCGTTCTGACTCGTGCCTGCAGTTGTCAAGGTTCCCTTTCCTGCCTGAGGAGTGGGAAGCACCGTGAATGTGCTTCCCTAATTTATTAATGGGCTCCTCAGCTTCCCAAGCGACATCATGGTATAAAATCCGAGCGTGAGCATTGATGCCTGAAAGTTTTACTCTGTGGGTACGGTGATGTAATTGCTTTGGAGCTGTTTGTCAGCCAGAACAGGAGAAACATCAACTCTATTTTGTTTAAAAAAACCCCACCCATACTTAGAAACTATAGTTAGGATCTCATCATGTTTTAAAGATGAGAAAGTGGGAAAGTCTAGAGTTCTTTCCTCATGTAAAGTAGGTTTCATTGTTATTTTTATCTTTATTTATTATTTTGTATATTCCACCTCCAGACTGGACTGACATCCTTACACCTTGCGGCTCAAGAGGATAAAGTGAACGTAGCTGAAATACTGACAAAACACGGCGCAAACCAAGATGCTCAGACAAAGGTAAATCATGGAGTGGCTGCTGTGTCCAGTGCACCAAAGGGTGCTACCGCTGTAAAAGGAATGTTCCACTGAGCTTGCAGTTTTACTTCTCTGTTCTCTTCTTGTAGCTTGGTTATACACCTTTAATTGTGGCGTGTCACTATGGAAACATCAAAATGGTGAATTTTCTTCTCAAGCAGGGAGCAAATGTCAACGCTAAAACCAAGGTAAGGAATTTTTCGTTGCATGCTTTTTGCTCTTTATTATGAACCTGGTAACCAAGCACCGTGAATACATACCATAGGTGCCTTTTGGCTTGTAAACTATAATTACTGCCTGGTTAGATGTCAGCGTGCGGTGGTTCGTGGCGGTAGTGGAATGCCTTCTCTCTGCTGCATCTCGTTGTGTAGTGTTCACAAAAGAAAAGTCCGATAGCTCTTTGGCCGCATGAAAGAAGGAGGTAGAGAATAAATTCCTTTTTTTCTTTTCTTTTTACTTGCAAACTAACGAAAGTGAGCTTGTTTCTGATCTCGTTTACACATGGTTTACACCAGTATAATACCGGGGTGCTGCCAAACTAGTAAGGAACAATTCAGACGCTTTGAGGGTGATGCCAGGTTCCCTCCAATCTGCTGGGAGAAGAGTGGGAAGCGTTACTGCTGATCACAGCGTGGGCGGTATGACTCTGGGAGAGGAAGCGGCTGTGGTGGGGAATGCAGTTTACTGAAAACAGGTTTGGGGTTGGTTTTTTGGTTGTTTTTTTTTTTTTTTAGGGGAATCTGGGTACACTGTTACTGCCCAGTTATACTGAAAGGGACCTGAGTGCCTACAGCCAAAGTTCGAACTAAATCCACTGACTTCAGCAGTTTTTTCCAGTATAAACTGGTGGGCACAAGAGCTGAATGTGATGTGTTTTGTATCAAGGATTGTCTCTCTCCTGAGTAAACACAGGAGAGGTTCTGGTGATGGCAACGGTGCGTTGCATCCCAGATGTCATCACGTCGCCCTTGTCAGAAAGAGAAGGCTAACTCGGGGGCAGCAGGGCTTCGGCTTAGTTAAAACTGGCTTCAGGCAACAGCTGCCTTCAGATCGGACGTCTTGGGACCAACGTGAAGAAGCCCATTGATATTTCTAGGGACGTACTTTGCATTTGTGAGATCCAGTCCGACTCACAGGCTTGTGGTCTGCTGCTCCCTCTGGCCAGCTCCTCTGTCCCCAGCTGGGACCGGCGGGATGGATTCGTTTTCTCAAAGTAGCACTATTTCATCACAGCGGTCACGGCTCAGCGTGGTAAGAAACGGCAAAGTAAATAAATAAAAGATGCTGGCCCATCCCTCGTGAGATCACCCGAAATCCGTGGGTAAAACCCAAGGATTCCAAAAGAACAGGCAACGCCACTAGAAAAACAGCTGATAAGAATTAATAAAGCAGACGCTAGCGGGATCCAAACGATAGCTGCCAAGACATTCAGCTGAGGTATGTGGAGGCTAACTGAAGGGACAGACGTACTTGAGTCTTTAGTATTAGGTCTCAATCTATGTCTAAGGGGATGCTGGGTCAGATTCTGATGCCGTTTCCCCAGGTATTTCCCTTATTTAGGATAATTTAATTAAAGTCGGCAAGGTTGTATGAAAGTGTGTGGCAGTGGTTCTTCAAAATCTCACACCTAGGGACCGATAAAAATCCTGGCAATCTGTAAAAATAAAAACCAAACAAAACCACCAATAAAAAATGGTACTGCGGCCTCAGTTTAAAGAGTAAATCCATCCTGGCTGGGTTCAGGATGGGCGCACTAAAGAATAAGTAGCCTCTGTTGCAGCTTGGTGTTTAACTAGAGAAAGCCCGCATGATGCTTTGTGCCATCTCCAGTGAAAAATGATATGGCTGAATTCTGTTTTCGAAGGACTGCACTAATATTTAAGTAAAGACAGAGAATTTACTCTGCACCACAACCTATAGTAAAATCCTCCTTCAATTTCTTAGTGGTCCATGCACACAAACTGTAAATATAAGAACTGTAACGGTTCCGAGGTATCACTATTTAATTAGTCGTACAAAGCAGTACTTGCATGTTATTCGTTTGCAAAAGAGATAACGCTCGGAGTGTGTCTTTCAGAGCCTGCCCCCAGGCTTTACATAAGTGTACGGTGAGATCAACTTGCTGTTTTCTTCCAGTTTATTCTCTGCCTGCTTTCAAAGCCAATTGCAAATAATGTTGTAAATGAATTGCCTGACTGGCCTTACACAATACCAGCTCAGATCAGCTATCCGAAGTACACTTTGGTTATGTTTCTGTATTGTGTAACATCAGAATGAATCACTGGAGCAGATAAATATATGGACTTAAGTGTGTCTATTAATACAGACATTGTGTACATGTTTTTAAGCGTAACTACAGCTTGGTCAAGCCTTTTGAAGGCAAAGTGAAGCTAAAATTGATTGACATTTCTAACAGGTCTATGCTCTCAGCCTTTTTAAAAGCCAATAGTCTCAAATCACTGCTGTTAAAAATTATGTATTTTTTAAATTGGCTCAAATATTTTAAAAGCAAATCTTGGGGCTTCTGTAGAAAACTAAGACGTGAGAGGAAGAAAAATGTTCTCTGCCTCAGCTCTGATTCGGTCCTTAGCGGGCGACTTTAACTGTAGTGTTCCTCGTTGTTCCTCCCTCTGATTTAGGAAATGAGGAATTATCTATCTTCCCAGAGATTGCTTATAGTGTGAGACGAAAGATGATGTGTGAATAAAAATATGATCTTCCTTTATCTTTTCATTAATCTGGGGAAGAAGTATTATTATTAATCACTGAAGATTTATTATCTTTGGGTCGATCGATGGCATGATTTCTTTTCGAAATGTCTCAAAAGGAGCAGAAGGAAGCAAAGCGAAGTGTCTAATCTACTGACTGGTGGTTGTTGTTCTTTGTTTGTTTGTTGTTTTATCGTAACCACCGTGGACAACAGAATGGGTACACCCCTCTTCACCAAGCCGCTCAACAGGGCCACACTCACATCATTAACGTTCTCCTCCAACATGGGGCCAAGCCCAACGCCATCACCACTGTAAGTCTGAAGTGCCGGGGGGAACTGGTTTCCCTGGACAGTTCTGTTCTTTCCGTCCTTAGAACTTTGTTTTGGTGAGAGTATTCCTCCTACAGCTGGTTGTCAGATGTGTAAATGCAACTATTTCTTCTTTTCCTTGTCCTCTTAAGGTGGTTCAGATCAGATCTAACTCACTGGACTAAATGGGAGGTGGGGAAGCAGGTTGCTGAGCTGCAGTGTCAGGCCGGCCACGGCTAGCCGTGCTGCGCTTGTTCACTTGCCCCCTGCCTCAACGCTTCCGTCTCTAAATCGATATCTCCGTAAGGATTTTTCCATAAAAATTAAGGGGAAATCACAACCTGGGCCTTTTTGAAGGTTTAGACCCAAATTTCTGTCCCTCTGCCCGCTGGATCTGTTCCAGGTTCTTACTGAGTTCACTGATGTTAATGTCTCCTCAAAGACCATCAGTAACCTCTGGCACAGGTCCTTCTCCACAGTCAGCCAGGAATGCGACTGTCCTATTTCATGTTGCTGTTGTTTATTACTCATCTCCAATTGGGTAATCTTTACCGCCAGCCTGCCCAAAACTGCTGTCGTTCCCCGGAGTGGATCAGGTTTCCGTGTACACATATGGTGCATGCTTAAATCGGCACTGGCACCCTGCTTGGGCCTGGAGCAATCTATTGAATAATCTGCTGTGAAGTTATCCAAAATACCAGTTTAGGCACTGGATCGTCAAGCAAGAGGCCAATTGTAGTCAGCTTTTGGGGCTGTGGTTACCATTGGGCATATTCAACCCAAAGGTCTCTTTACTTGCTTTCCGTCCTCGTGTCGGGGCTGTCGTGACCAAATCTACCCCAAATCCAGGTAGGATCTCAAGGACGTGTCTTTACTGCACAGTTTGCATGCCTGCTCAGGTATTAGGTCTGGTTTTGTCCACACATAGCAACCTCTAGCTTGAGATAAGAGAGAATTCCAACCTGAGACACCCGGCAGGGGGATGTGGGAGTGGGATATGAGCAGTTAATGTGCAAGTGACAGCAACGGTCAAATTATTTGTGCTGTGAAGGTGCTAATCTGTACATTTTGTGCTGCTCATCCACACTGTGTTGCTTCAGGGTTGCTGAGCCAGACTAAACAGAAGAACTTAAATTATAGGTAGCTAAAGCCGATACTGAAGTAGAGGGAAGCCCTCAGGCTGACGTCCCGCGCACACTGCAGTGGGGTCACAAGAGAAATCGTTTCAGATGCAAAGAGCGGTACAGGGGCTTTCCATGACTCCCCCAGTAGGCCAACGTGTTATCCTTCGGTTCGGTTCAAAATGACATAAACTAATTCTGTGTTAGAGCTCTTTACAAAGAATCATGGAATGGTTTGGGTTGGAAGGGACATTAAAGATCATCTAGTTCCAACCCCCCCGCCCTGGGCAGGGACACCTCCCACCAGCCCAGGTTGCTCCAAGCCCCGTCCAACCTGGCCTTGAACACCTCCAGGGATGGGGCCAGGCATCATGGAACACATCCCTTCCTCCCCTGCCCAAGTTGAGTGACACAGGGACCGTGGACTGCCAATGTTCCAGGTGATGAAATGGAGATAAATCAGCCTCGACACTTATTAAATTACTATTTTAAAGTCCATTTGGTGAATGGCACATCTATACATTTAAACTGCAAATAAATTTACTTAAATAGAAATTAATTCCCCACGCCCAGAGGTTGGTTTTTTGTTTACTTTTATTGGACACGCATTTTTGTTGTAAGGAGATATAGAGAAGTGTATGTGGACAATACAGCTGAAATCTTGTGTTCCCCCAAGAGGGAATTGTGCCCGATAAAGATTTAACAGTTTCAGCTGGAAGTGAAACTCTTAACATTTTAAAATACTTTTTAAGAAGAGGATTTCTGCCACAGAGCCTTTTATGCAAAATAAAACGTGAACTTCTGCAGACGAGACACATTCTGTATAGTGAAATTTGAGCACTGAAGGGTTAAACCGTCCGGCACTTTTTTTATTTAGCATAGCAGGCAGATGTAAGTGTGTTGTGTTGCCATGGTAATCGGGGCTATAGTCTTAAAGAAGTTACAAAGACGGAGTCAGATGTAACGGTAAAAAAAAAAAAAAAAAAAAGGAAAAGAAAAGAAAACCCAGTGATTTTTCCTAGGCTGCGCCTTGTTTTGGATGGAAATGCTGGCTCATGCCGTGTGGAGGGTGAGCTCATTGGTTCACATCACAACCCTCCCTCTCAGCGCGCGCTCTCTCTCTCTCTCTCTCGCTCTCTCTCAACCCCCCCTCTTCTCTCTTTTTCTCTTCAGAATGGTAACACTGCCTTAGCCATTGCGAGGCGTCTGGGATATATCTCAGTGGTCGATACGCTGAAGGTTGTAACGGAGGAGATTACCACCACCACAACTGTGAGTCGCAGATGCATTAAAATGTCTCTTTTCTTTATTCAGAATGTCGTCTTTCTCTTCTTCCCTCAGACTCTCCTTGTATCTCTTTCCTTTTCTTATTTTTTGGTTTTAGCCCCCCCTCCTCCCCCTCCTTTGTGTTGGCTTTTTGCAAAAGGTGCCTCAGCGCTTTCAGGGCATCTTTTAAGCGTGTGGAAGCGTGCGCACCACCGCAGGCTTCACTGAGCGAGGGGACAAAATCGATGTGCACACAAACAACTCTTCAAAAGCAGAGTAAAACTTCTCTGTAGACACAGGTCTGGGCCGCAAACCCAAACTTCCCAGAAGTTTGTGCCTTGCTGTTTAGATCCTGTCCTGTTTCTCCGTTTCTCTTTTCACCTCTCCTTTTCGGTCCGTCCTTACCTTTCCACACTTTGCACACCTCCCGAGGCTCCATCCTCGCAGCACGCCACGGCAAAGCTTCGTAGCCTTCGGACTGTACCAGCCGTGGGCCGGTGCCAAGCGTAATGATGCTCGCTAGATGGCTCTGAATCGCATCCCTCGTCTTCTTACTCAAGTCGCTTTCAGTTCAAAGAGAATCCTGTTTTTCCAAAAATTCCAATGACTCTTCCCTTAACCTGCTCGCTCCTCTCAGTCCTCCACACTCTTGGGAGGCTGGAGGGTGACTTCAGGGTTTGTGAAAAGTACGTGCTGCACATCAGCAAGGTGCTACTGTTGCTTTAAGCCGAGGAAAACGGATATATTCTGACACTCTGTGGGGAAAGGTTTTCTCTTCCTGGACTTTTACCTCCCATCTACAAATGTTTTAGCAGGCAGGAAGGGAGAACATTAGAAATAGTGCATCATTTAAGAAGTTAATTTCAATTTCCATTACTGCTTTTTATCTTGAACCACTGCTGTAAGGTCGTGCTTTTTTTTTTTTTTTTTTTTAAACGCAAGAAAGATTAGCAGTCTAAAAAACCTATCAGATGTAGATGTCATTTAGGAGCTCGGAGCCGTAAAAATCCACAGATTACTTAAAAGATGCCACTACTCAATCAGGGAGAGGGTTAGAGGAAGGGGAGGAATCCAGAGTCTCTTGTAAAGAAATAGGAAAACAATTTTGATTTTGTCACACGCTGAGAGCAAGTCCCACTGATATTAGCCGAGGAAGGTGGAATAAAAGTAACATGGCGTAAGGTTACAAATAGAGCAAGCCATAATTTATTAACGACCTGCAAAGATCAGACTGAGTCAGGTCTGGAAAAGGAATTCCAGCATAATTCCAGAAGTCTCTTAAGAAAGACTATGTGTTTTTGTTGTCATTTATTTCCTGTTCTTGTGTAATCATGTAGCACATCACACAGGTATGTGCGTAAACACATACGTATCAGAGATTTAGAAGAATAAAGCATAGGTAATATTTTTCAGAAACTAGCTCTTTTCAAAAGGGTATTTTTTTAGCCTCAGATGACACCTTTGCTGTTCTCTGTGCCGTGTCCTGGCACACTTCTTCCATTTATGCGTGATAAAAGTTGAAACTTCCTTTCTATCATCCGTTGTGCTGCGCTGTGGAGCCTCGTACCTTCTCGTGTGTAAGTAATAATAGGGATTACGCTACGAAAAGACACCTGTGAGTTATTTAGTTTGGAAAGACGTTTCTTTAGACTTTGGGAGTAATGGATTTTTCTACCAGCTACCAGCTGCTTGGGGTTTAGGACTGAATAGCATGCTGAACCTTGCTTGCGTAGTTGACCTCTAATGCTTGCATAGAAGAGAAATCTGAAATCTTGAACCGTCTCTGTGTACGAAGCACTGCTTTTAAAAGTCAGGTGGGAACCCTCCAGAAAGTCAGCAGATTTTTCAGCAAGGAATTTGTCTGACTCTTGTACCTTAGGGATGGATAGAATAGAAACCTCTGGTGGCGGTGTTCATGGCGGGGAATGTTGATTAACCGTCATTCAGAACAAGTCCGAAAAAGGAGGGATAAATAACAGGCACTCCCTGCAATAAAATTCTCCAGATGGTGAGGTTGGTGTTGCCAAACCAGAACACAGCGTTTAGCACTGAAAAAAAAAGATGCTGTCACCATAGCTACTTCATTCTCTAAGGTTGTAGCCGAGTGATGCATGGAGGATGTTGGGCAAGCTGATGCTGTATTGCTATTCAAGTCACCGGCGTTCGAGGTGAGGAAAAGATCTCCAGTGCCAAAGCCTTTGGTCTAACTTTGAACAGATTTTCCTCTCACTTGCTTTAGTGTTATCATCAGTGGAGCCACGTGACCATAAAGCAATAGAAAGAATAAAGCACACTTATTTTTTACTTGCAGATTAGCGATGAATAGGAAAGAAATCAGAATAAGATAGGCTTTCGAAGCTTTGCTGTGCAATTAAGTTTTGGGGTGTTTGTATAAACAGGCATAGTCTTCCTGTGGACAAATGAATATATGAGGAGATCTGAGGTTGTTTACAGTATTCTGCTCTTGAGTATGTAATCGCTGAATGTACATATAGGTTTATATACCTGAAATATATATCTGAATTACTGTGTGCCACCAGATGAAAATCTGGCCTTATAATGAAAAGTCGTAAATACAGAAGCCTAAAGTGAAGTACGTAGTTGAATTCTCAGTAGGGAGTTTGAGGAATATACACTGAGCAATTTTCAAAGTGGGCCATTCATGTGGTTATATGTGGATGGATTTGAAATTTTGACAGGATTTGACATTTCTTATGTCCCTATCAAGTAAAAAAAAAAGTAATCGAGTAATATGTTAAAAGTTCATTTAAAAAATAGTTCACAGCTTCTGTTGGGAATTGATGTAGATTTAATGTTTCTTGCAGAGTTCAGTGGTTCCAGCGATAGCATTACATCGTTTTTCTTCTCCTGAACCACGCGCACGCACTCTTGCTTCTGCTTTCCAAACTTTGTTTCAGTTGTTAAATTATGTAATAATTTTCCCTGACTGAGGGGAAAATCGGGAAGTAAATCAAGTATCATTACTGTTCTGTAAATAAATAATAGCGTCTGAGAGCCTTAGTCAGAGACAAGATTGTTATTATATAGGGGCCTGTAAAAACCTAATCTATGAATAAATTGATATCATGATAAATAAACCTTAGTTACTGGGGTCTGCAGATCTAAGTTAGTAGAAAGAGAATATACAATGTGCCTCTATCCCTGTAGCTTGTGGGCTGGAGTGCTGCAGCATCCCTTCTTTTCTGTATTCTTCTAATCAAATGGATTTTGTAGATAAGCTGTGGTTGGGAACCAAGTTTTCTTAAATAAATGTTGGTCGTACAGCAGACATACAAAAACCAGCAGTTGTGACTGGCCCCTTTCCCCCCCCCTTTCTTCAGAATTTGGTCACTTCCTCCCGCCTTTGTTGTTTTTCCCGACTTTTGAGTTATTTTACACGGGGAACGTAGGAGCTGGCAATAGAGAATTTGCAGTACGCGGCGTGCGGATGCAGTGTCAACGCCAATTGCAGTTACACGCCAGCAAATTGGTACCCACACACAGCGCTTTCCACTGCCCTTGAAAAATACACAGCCCCCTTTACCTGGGTTTGTTTCTTTAGCCCGGTGTCAGAGATATTTTTTTTTAAAGAATTTATGATGTATTTGCTAACTTACTGCCGTATTGTTGAAGAGACGAGGTCGACATCACCTGAACAATAGCGTCCTCCCCGTCTGTCATCGCTGGTTTGGTCACCCTGCGGCTGCCTGACGCTTCTGTCGTGCAGGGGGGGGAAAAGACAGATATTGGCGGAGGCATTTGGGGAATAGAAACTGATTTTCAATACAGAACGTGTTACGAAAAACGCTGCAGAAATAATTAATTGGCTTGACTCGTGGGTGAGAGTGAATTTAGGAGGCCTGATTGGGGTTGCCATTTGAAGCAAAGGACGTTGTTCTTTCCCTCAGAAGGGTGAAGCGAAAACTGCTGTCACAGTTAAATATATTTCAAAAATGTAAAGCAGACTTTTTAAACAAATTTCCAAAGTAATTACACTGTTGGTAACTTTGTTATTTATAAAAGCGCAGTATCTTATAGCAATCAAGAATGCTGTCTTCCTCGGTTTGTTAGAAATAGAGAAGTACGAAACAGAATCGGGGAAATACCTAGTAAGTTTTGTGCAACAAAAACCGCTTTTTGCCTTCACTGCTTGACATCAACGGGCGTTTTCCCAAAGCGTATTGCATAAGGGGCTCGGGATTTGGCTGGCGTTAGTCATCCCTCTTTCACTACTTCTGCATGTGATTTTAATTCAGGGTTGGTAGATCCCATCCGCCCTGGGGGGTGAGGCTCTGCCTCGGCGGGAGTTCCAGGAGACGCGTGGCCTCCTGACGTTCTTCTCCATGCCAGAGGGACACGGCTGCTCCCACCTACCTTCCGCCAGGACGGGTCGACTCCCCAGTTCAGCTGACTGGCTGACGGATCTGGATGGAGCCAGGGCAAGATTTCTGTTTTCTGTCGTGACTAATGCTGTTCGGATCGCTGCTCTTTTTTTGAAGTCCTTGGCATTTTGTCTCCTGTATCGTAACACACCGAAGTGTTTCCTGCAGGCAACTTTTTCACACCTTGCACTTCCTACGGTCGCTTTCATGACGTTCATCTCCTTCTCCAGTGTGCATCTTGATGCTAAAGGATGCCCCGTTCTTCTTTCAGCTGAACATCATCTAATTCCAAAATCTTCCAGTGTTCTCCTACTCTGGGCTCTCATGCTGAAGCAGTGTCCTCTCAGCAGTCCTTGGTCCATACTCACCTTGGGTCACAATATCACAATATTTTAAGCTTTTATGTGCACAAAATATATCAGAATCTTCAAATAACTATTTTTTTTTCCACCGGATGTATACATGATTGGGGGGGGGGAATATTCCGAGCAATCTGTGTAAATCCTTCCCATCTTTTTTTAGTTGAAGAATTTCACATCATTCATAACTTCATTTCCAAATGCTTTACGATTTAATAATTTCCATATGCCACATACAACTTTCTGAAGCTCTTCTGTAGACATTACCTAATTCATTTTAAAATCATCTTGGAAACATTGAGCTGAATTGTTCTACGTGCACCATTTATAAATAAATTTGCGGAGAGCTTTCTTTTCTTTTCTTTTCTTCCTCTGACCAGCTCATTAGCTTTATTTTTTTGCACTTTTCTGCCAGAATAAATGTTACCTTATACAGCACTGAGAATAGGAGCTTCTGGAGTAACTATGTAAAATAAAGCTATGGGGAAGGGGAAACGTTATAAAATGCCTCAGCAGATCCCGCTGCTGTCGCAGTTGAAAATATCCTGCTGTCAACTTTGCTGCTGCTTTTGGTGTTTTAATTTGAGGACTGATGATTCTGTCTTTGCAGACTGTAACAGAGAAGCACAAGCTAAATGTACCTGAGACAATGACTGAGGTCCTGGACGTTTCAGATGAAGAAGGTGAGCAACTTTTTCTAAGTTCCTGTTCCATATCACTTAGAGAACAGGTAGTACAGGTTCAAGAGAGCTGCTTAAGTACTTTGACATCTTCATTTTGCAGTGCTTGAAGTGAAGTTCTATGTAATGGCTTTTTTTAAATGATGTAGTCATTATGGCATTTGAATACAGATGCCAAAAGTTCACCCAAACCAAAATCCCGGAGCCCTACATCTTTTTCAGAAAAAGTGTATTTGAACCAAATCAACAAATACGAACGTTTCCCGACTTCGGATTTTAAAATTTAAATGTAGAGCTGTCCCAAAGCTGGGTGTGACCCTCCCAGAAAGAGCAATTTGAGCAGTAAATTTTGTTGGATCAACGCCACTTATTTCAGCCACATACATTTAGGAGTTCTACCTAACTGGAAACAATTGTTTTCAAGGTGGAAGGTGGAGGAGACTGTTCCCTCGAGGGAGCTTTTGGCGCACAGGGATCGCACAAACGTATGGCGTGACATAAAGTCACAACACACTAATAAGTTTGGCACTTTGGTTTCAGAGTCTTTTGTATGTGCAGACGGGAGGAGTAACGATGTACTGCTTAGCGAAGACCCGAGGAAATTTCTGTGAACTTCTGGAGGGATTGATACAGTACCGCGGTTTTATACAGCACAGGGTTAAGGAAATAGCTTAAAAACATCTCTTAAAAGTTCACAGAGGACTTGTTACAAATTTTAATCACAGTGGCATCTGATAAATATACACGCATGTGCAAGAATTTTCTAACTTCTTTGTTACTCCCGGCAGTGTTAATTAATATTATTACAGTACCTTACATATGCCATTTTATGGTTGTTATTATTTCCTGCAATTAATTTGTAGAGCGCCTAATTTCCAAAAGTCGTAGGGATTTAGGGACGCAGGTTACAGGGTTGGGTTTTTTTTGTCTTTTACAAAGAACACAAATGCACTTGTGGTTCTGAATGGTACTGGAAGTTAATGGCATTTATGTTCCTAAACAGCTTGTATTACTTTTTGAAATGGGATTTATGCCGATAAATGAGTTACACTATTGAGAAAATATGACGTTTAGGCTCCAGACGCTGCTTTTTTTTTTTTTTTAAATGCTTGCAAAGCTGCAAGCGAAAGCAAACAAGAATGATTCAAAAGAAATTATTTTCTGCTGCATCACGGTCAGTGAAATTATTTCTCTCGGGCATGTTTTTGCTGCATTTTCTCTGTGTGGAAAACATTCAACTACTTGTGTAATTATGGTGAGAAACGGCCTTTCAGTTGCTTATAGCCTTGTGTTCGCTGTGTTGAATTCTCTCCCAAGGTTTTGAACTACCATTTAACCATCTTTAAATCCACAAAGCCTGTTATGTCTTTCTGCTGCTACAGGATTAGTACTGGGTATTCCTTCTTCTCAACCCAATTTGTATGTCGTACAGCCTTTAAACACTCTGATGATGAACGCTTCAGCGATGGCGAAGCATATAGTGGCACAGGGGCTGTTAGCAGGAGTTCGTGGAGTAAGACTTATGAGCTTTCTCTTTTTGTTTAACTCCGATTGATTGTTTGGGTTTTTTTGGGTTGAAGCTTAATGTGGGTGCCTAACACTGCTGCTTTTCATTACTTTTGGAGTGTGCCTGGGCGTGTGTTTCCTGAAAGGTGGGAGGAAGAAGGGAAGCCAGAAAATCCGAGATTTATTACCTGTATCTTGACTACGTCGGCAGAACTCGCTGTGGCCGTCCAGCATGACTAACGCTCTCCAGTGCTTTGAATTAACATCCTCTGCTTTCCGTCTGACACCTCCTGTTTGTCGATGGCCAACAGATAGGACACAGCCGCTCGGGCACGTTGCCGCTCCAGGCTGGTACTCGTAGTGTCTCTGCTGCAGGTTGCCGAGCAGGTTGCTCGCGGTTAAAGCGCTTTGCTCCATTGTCCTTGGAAAAGTTGTTTCTCCAGGCAAAACAAGTCAGGATGTCGGGAAAACTCCTGACGGGGATAGGGCTGAACTTAAAATAGCTGAGGGCAGGAAGATCGTAAAACTTTTTTAATAAAGAGGGTGAAGCTTTTAGTGGTGGTGGAGTCTTTAGAAGAGGCTAGCAATAAGCTTTCTGTCCTGCTGTGCTCTTAGCTGCTCTGAAGTGACATAATATCTTCTGAAATAAATAAACGTGACGCGGTAAACCCCGCCAGCTGTAATTATATCATTATAAAGATGAACACAAGAAGAGTACTCAAGCAAATAAGTATTTCAGGTCCCATCGTGGAGCTCGTTCATCACTGGTGACAAATATTTTGCATTTTGCCTGGGAAGCAGTAACATTATATATATTTTATATATATAATCGTATGCTGTTACGTTAATAATACAGTAATCATATTCCTAAAACAAATTCACATGCAACATCCAGTCTTAGCAGTATAAAATAAAGGACCACATAGTTTATCAAATAGCTCAGCTTGGAATATAAGGTCCTGCTCTGTGTAGTCTATCTTAAAATATTTTGAATGAACTGAGAGTCCCACTAATTCTTCTGTAATTTTCATACAGCGTTTTTATGTTTAGCGATTGTATTATTATTCAGAATTCTTTACCTTTTATTGTAGCTGAAAAAAACCCAAACCTTTCCTTTGGTCAAAACCAGATTATATTTTTTATTTAAAATCGCATTTGATTTTGGGTTTTAGGTGATAAGTACCAGAGTTAAGTACAGAAGCAGGTGTGCATTGTCAGGGACAGAGAAGCACCCATGCCAGTAACGGACTAGGAGAAATTGTCTTCGTAATCTTTTGTGCAAGGACCAAGGGAGAAGCGGGAAAAAAGGAAACTTCACAGGCTGGCAAAAACGTGATTCTAGAAGAATCCTACTTCATCTGGTGTAAGCCTGTTACGTCGGTCCTACATGTATCAGATATTCCATGGCATTAATAAGTCTTTCCTGCTTTGTGACCACCAGGGCCAAAGATGTACCAGCACAGTTTTATTAAGCAGTTTATTCATACACCACGGAAATACGCACAGTCACATGTGTGTTACTGCTGCTTTTTCTCTGTTCATGCTGCAGTCTACCATGAAGACTATGTAAAGATAATCATCCGTTCTTATATGTTCAGCACTGGGCACAGTGCAGATGTTCAGCCCCTGTTCAGAAGGTGATGGCCCGATCTTGCAAAAAAAAAGATGGAGAAGTGCTTCTCCTCGAGGGTGCGGATTCCCCCCGGCCGCGCTGTTAGGTGAGGTGGTTTCTGAAACACCTATCCGCGCTGGCAGAGATGCTTTGTGTGGATGGAGTTGGGCTAAAAAAACCTCTGCGTTTCTGTCACAGTGTCTGGCTTAGCTGTTTGTATTGCCACAAAACTTAGTTCCTGTAAAGCTGTTGCCGCAAAAGCAGCAATTTGCACCCGAGGGATCCTTACAGCCGTAAAGGGCCATTACCGCAAAGCATCTTGTGAAATGTATTTTAGTGACATCTACAGAATTAGCAAGTTTAAGCACAAGCAGATGTTTCTGTTAGGGCTGAGTCAGCGTAGACACACAGGAAAACCTAGAAAAGGCAGGAACCTTTTTTTATTTTATTCTCCCATATGTTAATAATATTGTATCGAGGAGCGTGTTGCTGCTCCTCTGTGCTCACTCCATGCGTTATTTTTCTGGCGAGAGAGCTGTACAAACTGCCGATGGTTTATCTTTGTGACTCCCATCTGAGATAGTACCTCTGAGACAGTACCGTAAGTGTGGTGCCATATAGAGAGGAGACAAGACCAACCAATAAAACAGGTTGTTGAAGAGCTCTTATTTGCATCTCTCTGGACCTCCTCTCATCTCCTGCGCTCTTTTCGGTCCACTTAATTTTCAAAAGCTCTGGTTTCACTGTCTCCTTAGACCAAGTTCTGGCTGCAGCAAGAAGTTGTCATAGCTCTAACCACACTTTCCCACATCCTCCAGTATGTCAGCACAAACGTTTCACCTTGCGGTGAACCAACCCAGGGAACGGATCGGTCTGAAAATTCATCTCTTTCTTCGTTCTGACAAGTTACTTTTTGGCCAGTCTACGTTTGCAGGCAGAAGGAAGGGACTGGAAAGGCTGAAGTAGAAGGTGAGACACCATTGTCAGAAGAAAGGTCAGTTTACACGCGGAGAAGGAACAGGCAAATCTTGAGCGAACAATCGTGTGCAAATAGTCAGTGGAGTCTCAAAAATCAGTTGGAATCACAGTATCCAAAGAACAAAGATGAAGTCAGCTTAAAAAGAAGGCGATTGGGACATTGGATTTGCTGAAGCGTTTCTAAGAAATGGAAACAGCGTCATCACATGTCCTTAAATAATTTATAAAACAAAATATGCATTAATGCCAACATATGATAATGAGCCAGTGTCAGATTGTTGCATTTTTCCTCTCGCAGAGTTGCTCCTTTTTCTCCTTTTTAGTTTTAAAGCTTACTCAAAATTGTGATACTGCATCATTCAAACATATTCACAGTAGTGGCACCAGTGTAAAAGTGGGGTTTGCGATCCCTTCATAAATGTGCGTCAGTGACAAGGTGACATATCTGTGAACTACTGTGTTGCTTAAGGACATCAAATATGTAAACTTGGATTGCAGAAAAGAGCTAATCCATCCCTGATTACATCAGATTTCTGCTTAAAAATTAAAACCAAAAATCCTTTTTGTTGTTGAAAAAAGTTGTTTTCAACGTAGAGAATTTTTTCCAGTGTAGAGAAACCATCAAGAAAGAGAACTTTCAAACTGCGCAGTAAGTCTGGTTCCGACCACAGGCTCACAAAGGACCGAGAAGTTACTACTTTACAGCCGAAAGCTCCGGTAGGGTTCAGGAATTTGTTTCTGGCACTGTTAATGATTCCGAGATGACTCTGTGGAAGTCACCCCAATTATCTCATCTGCCAGTTGTCAAATGGGACAGCGATGGGCTGCTTGGGAAGAAACCACCACGTGGATCTGTTTCCTTACCCTTGTAACCGCTTGCCTGGAACAACGTGGCCACCTCGTTATT